TGCACAGTAATAGTCACCTGCACACACAGATATCCCCCTAAAATAGCTAAAACTAAAAACAAACTAAAAACTACTTCCAAGAACATTCAGCTTTGATATTAACGAGTTTTTTGGGTTCATTGAGAACATGGTTGTTGTTCAATAATAACATTATTCCTCAAAAATACAACTTGCCTAATAATTCTGCACTCCCTGTACATCACCTGCGTGGAATTTAAAAGACATCAAAATTTGTATCTGTCGTACGGTGGCCCTGAGAGGCCAAACGGACTGCAACTTAAGAAAACACCAGCAATAAGAAAAACGCTGCAAAAGGACACAAAACACAACAGAAATAGGAAAAACGACAACGGAAATAGGAAAAAACAGATATCCAAAAGCACAAGGGAAGTGTTTCTGGGGAGATCTGACGGACCAGCTGCAGGAACCAAAATATGTTAAGAATTGCGCTGGGAGACACTTAACAGAAGTGGAGGATCTATCGGTTTTGTGAGGAAAGAAAAGATGAGAGCTAAGTGTGTTAGCCTAACTATTAGCCTAAAAATCCGTCATCAGTATTATATGAATCATGATAAAACACGCCTACCATGTTTTGGGTTCCTGGAACTGGTCTGTCGGGTTATTGTCTCCCCAGAAACACTTCCCTTGTGTTTTTTCCTATTTCTGTTGTGTTTTGTGTGCTTTTGCAGCATTTTTCTTATTGCTGGTGTTTTCTTAAGTTGCAGTCCATTTGGCCTCTCAGGGCCACCGTACTGTCATCATTTAGTCACCACCAAATATTGAATAAAGAATTACAAAAAAAAATCCTGAAATATCATAGACATTTAACTTGACAGGCGATGTTTTTGGTGACCAGGACTGCATGAACCCCACAGCTATGGCATTATTTTTGTGCCACTATTCTGAGCGCACGTAAAAAAAATTGAGCGCATGTAAAAAAAAATTGCAGGTGCAGGTGTTGCATTTTGAGGAGAAATGTATTTTGAGAGAAGAAAAGCTCAATTAGAGTGAACAAAATTCATTGCTGCTTGCAAAAATGTATTTCAGTGTTTGTTTGCTATTATCCACACACACACACACACAATAGCAGCCCCTCTCGCTCAGTTTTTGCATTTGTGCTCGCTCGCAATGTGTTGCTGGCGCTCTCAACATTTCTGCCTGTGCGTGCTCAACTCTTTCTGTACACCGCTATATTTGTGCCACAAAACCAGCCAATCACAGACTTGGATGCAAAAAAAATCTGATTGGCTGTTTTGGTCTCCAATCAGCTCTAAATGACGAAATGCAATATCCCAGAATCCATTTCGTCCAAAACTCAAACGAGGCAGTGGCGGAGGAACACAGAGTGGAGGAGTTTGAAATATTACTCTTTCTGGGTCACAAAATAAACTTTTAAGATATTTTCATGCGAGAATGGTGCTGTGTAAACTTCAAATATCTGTTTGATTTATCAAGACATCACATATTTGCATAAGTGCTCTAACATTTTCGGAGATGCCTGTTACCCACCAGCTGACTGCATAGCTGGACTGGCCGTTGGGCATACCGGACATTTGCCCGGTGGGCCGATGGTGATTTTTCATTTTTATGTTTGTTTTTGTAACAATATAAACAATGAAAGGTGGTGGATTAGCCAGTTGGTCATGATCAACTCTGGGCTGGACCAATTACAATACATCCGTATTGAGGGGAAAAGGAACGCACAGCTCCTCTTCTTCTCTCATTCTCTCCCCCTCCCTCTCCTGTTGCTATTTCAATCATGAAACTGATCAATGATCAGCTGATCGTCTCTCTTGTTTGTTTATTGCCCACTTTGCGCCAGAAACAGAAAACCAGCGGATGTCGCGCTAAACAACAGCAGCACGTTCAAGCTTGATAAGCTGTTGTTAGAATTGATTTAATATTACTTTCTAGTATCAGCTGATGTTTGCTGGAGCCACAGCTGTAAAAGCTGCTGGTCATGATATCGGTTTGGATATGTGGTGAGAGGGAAACATGAAGGTGATACAAATCATACATATATACCAACAAGACAGTGTACATCACTGTCACAACAGCGTTTGTTTTAGTTCAAAGGCTTTATGGTTTTTCCTATAATACCTGGTGGTGCAGTCGGCCGATTTTTTGTCAGTTCAGCTTTTTATATTATGTTTAACCCGAATGACCACCAGGTCAGCTGGTGGGTAATAGGCATCTCCGAAAACGTTAGACCACTTATGCAAATATGTGATGTCTCGATAAATCGAACAGATATTTGAAGTTTACACAGCACCATTCTCGCATGAAAATATCTTAAAAGTTTATTTTGTGACCCAGAAAGAGTAATATTTCAAACTCCGCCACTCTGTGTTCCTCCGCCACTGCCTCGTTTGAGTTTTGGACGAAATGGATTCTGGGATATTGCATTTCGTCATTTCGAGCTGATTGGAGACCAAAACAGCCAATCAGATTTTTTTTGCATCCAAGTCTGTGATTGGCTGGTTTTGTGGCACAAATATAGCGGTGTACAGAAAGAGTTGAGCACGCACAGGCAGAAATGTTGAGAGCGCAAGCAACACATTGCGAGCGAGCGCAAATGCAAAAACTGAGCGAGAGGGGCTGCTATTGTGTGTGTGTGTGTGGATAATAGCAAACACTGGAATACATTTTTTGCAAGCAGCAATGAATTTTGTTCACTCAAATTTAGCTTTTCTTCACTCAAAATAAATTTCTCCTCAAAATGCAACACCTGCACCTGCAATTTGTTTTTACATGCGCTCAGAATAGTGGCACAAAAATAACGCCATACACAGCAAGTACTGCTAAAGGCAGCAGACGTAGGTTAAATGATCAGCTTGTGGGTCAATTTAGATGTACAGCCAAGATGTAAATCCATCTGGCTACAATGTGTATTAAAACTGGTATCTAAAATTATTGACCAAAGAATTAAATACATGCACTATGTCCCTTTTATAACTCTTGATTCCAGGTTAAAAATGTACGCTTTTTGGTGTAACCCAAGGTTTACAGGTCAGGTTTTGTTTGTCTTTCAAACTCAATGTAGTTTGTGAAGTAGCCATAGATGTTTATAGACAACGTTTTTGTCATCTAACTAAATAAAAATTAAGGAAAATTTTAAGACAACAAGATAACTTGACCATACATGAGTGCTGCAAAAACAAAAACAAAAAAACATCCTTAGGGTTGTTTTTGCAATGTGTGTATTGCTTAAATACTTACATAAATAACCTCTCTCTCAAACCTTTTCCTTATGTTCAGCAGAACAGCCACTTCATGCATGTCACTGGGGGAAAGAAGCAATTAGAGTATTATTTATGGGGTTATGAACAAAAAAAGCAACCCAAAACCACACTATTTTTTCATGTTTGAGTTCAGCTGAATTTAAATTGTAAGTCTTTGTTCTAAGTGTAACTGTGGTGTACTGTGGCATTTTTGTTTTTAACTTACTCTAGCTGTGTCATATCTTCAACGCCATTTTCCTCTCTTTGCTCCCGCTGAACCATGGTGGGCAGGCTTCTGATTGCATACATCTAAAACAAGCACAGACATTCAGAAATTAAATGCAAGTACATATTACAAGAACACATTCACTCACAAGGAACTGTTGATTCTCTTACTTTTGAATTATTATTAGTTGCTTACCCTCAAACTTTATGAAAAACATTTTAGAAATTTTTACCTTTTTTGCTGTTTAGCAAAACATTCTGCTTTTTCAAAACAAAAACATCAAGACATACCTAATCATTTATGGAACTTTTTCACTCTAATGTTACACTAGATATTTCGAACTCACTGCATAAACAAAAGCACTTCACAGGTTGACACCATGACAATTTTAGCCATTGTGGATACTTAGTTTTGTCATGCCACATTCGTTTTTAGAAATTACCTTGTCAAACCACTGCCCATGTGGTTCCCCCTCCCTGCGGAGATTCCATTCTCCTTGCTCATTCCCCAAGCCTTCCTGTCCCATCAAGCTGCGGGGGTCCAGCAGCTCCCCTTCACCATACATGGACCACTTATTTAAGTTTTGGACTGTCCCATGAGGTAAAACCCTCTCTGCCCCCCACACATCTTCATCTTGTTGGGCTTCAACTCCAGCGTTCTGTGCCCAGTGCTGTCTAGGGCCAGATCCTTGGACCTGGGGTGATACTACTGCATATGAGGAGGGTAGGCGAAAGGAGGCCCCCCGAAGGTGAGGGTTCTGCAAAGCACCAGATAGGTTGAGTGTTCGAGGTTCTGGTGCTTTGGGGGCACCGAGTCGTGTCATGATATTGCCATCAGGGAGGCGGTATTTCGCCCCACGAAGGTTTGGGTTTTTTGATAAGGCATTAGATAGGTCAAGCGCTTTGGGTGCCGAAGCCGGCTGAGGGCGGGTCATGAGAGTTCCGTCTGGCAAACGGTAAGTGGCAGATCGGAGGTTCTGGTTGCGAAGAGCATTGGAAAGGTCAAGTGAGCGCGGTTGAGAGGCATCAGTAGATCCAGGCTGCTTAAATAATGATGTGTTTGGAAGCCTATAAGAGGCACCACGGATGTTGGTTTTTAACAATGCACCAGAAAGGACAGGGCCGGAAGAAGCAGAGGAAGAAGGTTGAGCTTGGTTCCGTGAGAACAACGAAGATCCTTCTGGGAGCTGAAACTTTGCCTTACGCAAGTTAGCATTCATCAGGGCGCTAGAAAGCCCAGGGGAGGCTACTGAGCTCTCTGCACTCTGCGTCTGCTCTCCTGGACGTGTGAGAAATGAACTGTCTGGTAATCGATAACAGGCGTTACGAACATTAGCATTGAGAAGAGCAGAGGAGAGTGTAGAAGAGGAAAGGGAGGGTGCAGATGTGGACTCTGTCCTGGTAACAAGTGTACCATCAGGTAAACGATATGTGGCTTGTCGCAAATTGGGATTGAGCAAAGCAGAGGACAGCATAGGGGAAGACAGTGGAGATGGACCTGAGACATGTTCAGCAGGTTCATTTCTTGTGACAAAAGAGCCATCGGGTAGTCTATAGGTCGCCCGATGTAGACTTTGGTTCTGTAAGGCATTAGAGAGCATCCCACTGCTAACACCACCTACACTATCGGTGTTAACTGGAGTCTCAACAGGGCCCCGGGACATTGTCAAAGTGCCACCTGGAAGCTTGAACATGGATCCCTGGATGTGTGAAGTTCGCAATCCACCTGAGAGAAGTGGGGAGCTACCTCTGACACCTCCTTGTTGTTGTGGGGAAGGTGGAGGAGCAGGTGAGCCTGGCAATGTGGGGGAGGGTTGTCGCTGAAATGGTGAGGCAAAAGAAGCATTACGTAGCTGAGAGGTCAGCATAGCAGGGGACAACTGTGGGGATGAAGGGACAGAAGGGGCAAGAGGGACTGCTGCTTCAGGTGGCGTGAGAACTGTTGTATAGAGGTTGGCATTGCGTTGCAGAGGAAATGAGTAGGAGGCACTCCGTAGGCGTGAGTTCTGCATTAAAGCATTGGATAGACCAGCAGTGGGATACTGGGGCATCATCTGGCTCTCCTGTACATTAGCTGATATCTCCTCCTGCCCACCAGGCATGACAGGTAACGGGCTCCTCTGAATAGCTGTGGTGTTGCTGACATTGTGCAGGTAAGGGTTCTGGAGTGTGCGTCCAAGATTAGGTGATGAGGGTGTAAGTTGAGGGAGGCTCTGAGGGTAAATCTCATGTTGTGTTTGTGGGGAGCTGGGCCTTTGTAAAGGTGAAGTGTGAGCTATAGTGGAGTAAGGGAGAGGAGAGGTAGGAAAGGGTGAGCCTACAATTTGACCATTTGGTAAAGCATTTGTAAGCATTGGAGATGGGCCTGGCTCCATCAATGTATAGTCATACTGAGTGATATTCTGTGATGGTGGAAAAGTAGCAAGAGAAATATTAGCATTAGGAACAGGAGGCTGAAAAGATGCTGGTCTGAAACCATGGGGACTCATTGCCCTGTGAGGCAAAGGGGAGGGTGGATGAGACAAATGGTGCATGGGAGATGCAGAACGGGACAGCATTGGAGATTGTTGCTGTAAGGGCTGTGGAGATGGAGGTGTACTCTGAAGCCGGCGCACTGATGGCTGGGAAGAAAGAGGGCCACTCTGTTTCAATGATTGCTGTGGAGGGGCAGGGGGACCTGGAGGAGGTGCTCTGAATGACTGCCTAGACTGAAGAGAGGACTGGTTTCTGGGCATTCGGACTAATGGCTGCCCTCTACCTACAGGTCTGTGGAATCCTCGTTGGGGGGTACCAGTTCGCTTGGACTCCCTTAACCCTGTAGGCCGGGAGCCTGCCCTGGCTAACATGGGTGTTCCAGCTATATCCTCTATCTGACCTGAAAGAGGGGCGGGACCACTATGGACGGAGGACCTAAATGGAGCAACATGCTGAGTAACAGGGGCCCCGTGTCGACTGTGTCTCTGTAAGTAGGGGTTGGCTGGAGACGGTTTCACAGCCCCCATGGGCACATGACTTCGAATCCCTGCACCACCTCTCATTCTGCGAGTAGAGGAGCGGGTGGGGAGGGGTCTACTGGTGATGCGCGACGGCGATGGAGAAGGAGGGCGATGGGGAGAGGTGGGGCGGAAGGATCGCGGAGGCGACTCAGCTCTTTCAGGTTGAGTCGGGCTCCTTCTTTGTGAATGTGGCTGGGGTGGAGAGGGGGAACGCCTCATCTTAGATGTCTGTTTTCTTCCTCTGAACAATTCCGGTCTGGTAGAAGGCAAATGGACTGCATCTGGTGGAGGTTGCTGTCTAAAGGAGAGTCTTGGGGAAGGTGGTGGGCTTGCTCTCTTCCTTAGCGATCCCCGGGGAGAAGCTAGCGGGCTGGAAATTGGGGATTGGGGTCGGACAGATGAAGGTGCTCGACGCAACCGAATATCTCCCCTCTCTTTTGTCATTGAAGGCTGAGTTCTCACTGACATACCTCTCCTATGTTGTAGTGGAGAAGAAGGTGGTGGGCTGTGTGGTCTGCGCCTGTTAACTGGGGATGTTGGCCTTTGACCTGGCACTGGGGCCCGCTGACTGAGCACCCGCCTATGTGAGTGAGGAGAGAGGTGTAGGTCAGACCGGATGCCTGTTTGGAAGTCCATGTGATGTGGTGAAAGGCGAGATGAAGGAGGCGCCATTGCCCTAGTTGATCCCAGCCTCAGTGATAGCTGTGGGGATGGAAGGGGACTCATTCGGCGCACTGGCCTAGGTGAGGCAACAGGTGAATGTAGCTGTGAATGCATCATTGGCTGCACTAGTGGGCCCAGTGGTGTCATTTGGGCCATCTGAAATGTCTGTGGGTCTTGTGCAAGGGGATCTTGATAGACTTGTGAGGAGAACTGAGGTGGCAGGGGAGATGGGGTCAGATGACTAGGAGAAACAGGGAAAGGAGGGTAAGTGTGCTGAGGGAAAGGAATGTGTTCTTGTTGAATGCTTGCGGCTGTAAGAAAAGGGGTGTGTCCAGCAAGAATGGAAGTGTATTGTTGGTTCATGACAGTAGGGTAATTTGGCTGTGTAGGATGATATGTGTGGATGGGTTGCTCATATTGTATATCTGACATCATCTCCTGATTGTTGAGGGCCAGAACTGGGGAGGGAGGAGGAACCATAGGGGATGGGGGACGAGAATGAAGAGGAGGTGGTGGCAATGTTTCCACCTCTAGTCTGTCTTTTCCAAATAACCTAACCTGGGGCCTGGGAAACCTGAACTGCTGTGTAGGAACTGGCTCGGGTAGAGGATAAGACAGCTGTTCTTGTCCATATAGCTGCCCAATCTCAACTGGAATCAGCCCAGAATCCATATAGAAAGGTTGCTGATAATGATTATAAGTAGGAGCAGGCTGTGGGTATCCCAGCATTGGGTCATTATATAGACCAGAAACAAAACCATTTCCACCGTTCATCAGTCCATAAGAGTCTGAAAGGCCAAAGGCAGAGCCCACATTGTGGTCAAAGTATTCTTCATATGGCCAAGGGTCATATGGGTCAGAGAAACCATTTATGCCATCACCATAATAGCCATATGGTTCTGACTCTATTGCATATAGCATTCCATCCTCACCATAGTAGTACTCCACCCCTTCATCACCATAGTAATCGTCATACTCATCCTCATAGTAGCCATAAGGGTAATCATAGTAATCCATTTCATCATCATAGTAAAGCTCGTCATCGTAATAAAAGTTGCCTTCCTCATCATAGTAACCATATTCATCTTCCCACTCATCATCATCATAGTAATCCATTTCCTCTCCAAAAGGGTCATATGGGTCATAGGCAATTGGTTGTCTACCAAAGCCTCTAGGCCTCCACCTGTCATGGTAATCATCCTCATATCCATGCTCATTATCATCATACTCATATTCTCCATTGTAATAATGTGTCTGTCTCCCTCTAGTGTCCCTGTTAGCAAATGACAAGCGCTTTCGGCCTCGTCCTCCAGCCCTTGCACCAAATTGACCATGGCCCTTTGAAGTCAGGAACCTCCCTGTCAACCAGTTTGTTGCTGCAGCTATCCTCCCTAACATCGAACTTTTAGCCTTAAAGCCTGGTGTGGTTTTCTTTTTGCCAAACATGCCTTTGAACTTCCCTCCTAGTCCCTTTGCCTCTGTTGCCATGTTTCCTTTACCCCCTAAACTGGATAGATTTATTGTCTTTTTAGATGGTGTGGTTTCTTTTGCATTGTTGTCTTTTTTATTAAGCAAGCTGAAGCCAGACAAGCCTGGCTTTTTGTCAGCAGACTTTGCCCCAAAACCAGCAAAAAGCTTGCTGGTGCCTAGAAGTGGTTTACTACCAGCAGCTGGTTTCTTTTTTTTGGAGAGTCGTAGGAAGAGACGGGATGTGCTTTTAAGGTTTCTCTTTGGTTTTGCCTTCTCTGGCTGCTGTTGTTTAGAGGGAAAACTGAAAGGGGATGCCTTTCCTGTAAGGCCTGTTATGGCTTTGGAAGCTCCTTTCAGGTGAGATTTCACATCGGGTGTCTTCTGTACTTTTGCTGCTCCTAAGGTCTTCTTCTGCCCCTCTGCAGCAAATCCCATCATGGCCTTAGACGCTCCTTTAATGTGTACATCACTCATCTTTTTCAGGTTTACTGCACCCATTCCTTTTTTGATTTGTGGCTTTCCATCATCACTCTCATCATCTGATGGAGGAGGCTGTTTAGAAGGAGGCTTAAAACCCTTTACAGCCATGGCCTTGGATGCACCTTTAAGAGCTGCTTTCCCTTTCCCTTTATCTGGCTTCTTGGTCACTACTTCTTCCTCACTGTCACCACTTTCTTCTTCCTCAGTCTTCATCTCCTCTTCTTCTTCCTCCGACCCCTCCTCCGACTCACTGACAGGTTTCTTTCCTTTTCCCTTCTTTCCATCATCCTTTCCTTTCCCCTTAGCTGGGGGCTCCTCCACCTTCTTCCCCCCTTTCTTGTCATCTTTTCCTCCTTTTTTATCATCCTTCCCTCCCTTCTTTGGTTCCTCTGACTTGCCTTTCTTGGCAGCTGATTTTGGGTCACCTTTTTTGGGTGGCATGATGAATTCTGAGTCAAATCATTTCAAAGCAGGTCAGGAAGTTCCCAAACGCATGCTGGACAGGGCAGCATTAATGTAACTGTTGATATGCAGCATTGAGAAGAGCAGTTTAAACAGAAGCAACATCCTCTCATCCCCAGTTGCTTTCATGTCTTCTCTCCTTTTTCCTCCATCCGATCTGTCAGTGTGACACCACAAACACACACTGCAGGATACTCTGTCTCGAGTCAGTTGTTCTATAATGCACACCAAGATAAACACAAACCACAGTCCTTCAAAAGACGATCTAGTAACAGAGTCGGAATCTCAGCCATCAGTGCTCGCTCGCATTACAATACGTCCTCAATCCTCGGCAAAAGAGCTGTTTTCTAAGCACAAAAAGAGAAACAAACCTCCTTTCCAGGAGTATTGCAAAAAAAACCCAAAAAAACCCCAAAAACTCCCCAAACTGCAGATGCTTACTGATTTTCAAATATCACATATGGAAAAAAAATCGTGCTGATTGTTTCCAAGTTTTACCCACTTACTGAGTTTTTCCACTTAACATCTAAAATAAGAAAATAATCCATCATGGCAAGGCAAGTTCCTGGTCCTGATGGTCTGTATGGGTTTGTAAGTAATTTCCCAGGTTCACACGACAGATAAAAGACCCTGCTATCCCACTGACAGACTCTGTGTAGTCCTTTGTGTGTCTCCCATTGTCAGTTCGTCCTGTGAGTCCAGCAGTGAATCCTCATCTTGGCCACCGCACCAACTTTAGCGCAATGCTCCCCCCAACAAGGAGAGCCGATGCAAGTGCGTCAGAGTGAGTCTCCGTGTCAAGGGATGTCCTCTTCTTTGTCTCAGAATGAGTGTGCACAAGTGTTGCGTTTGCGGTTGTATCCACCCACAACCGCGTCAGCTTGCCTTTGTGACCTCCTGCAACCTTCTCCATCTCTCTCTGGTTACTGAAACTTCCACAGCCCAGTTCACCTCAACACGAGGCCTCTTCCGCATCTCAATCCAGTTGCATGACATAGGAGCATATATAGAAATATATAAATATATTGTATGTCTGTGCGTGCATGTGCATCAGAATATGAGTCTCCCCAGTTACAATTGAAAAGGGGAACCATAATGTCCCAGCTATACTGGCTTGGGGTAACACTATCTGCTGCCTCACTTCTGTATGAATAATGCAAGCTGGCTGAGCTGTTGCTAAACTGTGTCTGAGAGGCAAAGCTTCAAATAGCTTAACCACACACATACACGCACACAGACACACACACAAGAAGCAGCATGGACCACAGCTGAGAGTGATGCCTTCTATTAGGTTCCTACAGTGCATATGCACAATACATTTTATGGAAAAAGACACCATTCAAGGATCTAAAATGTCAACTAAAAAAGCAAGTAAGGATTTAGGAAAGATTTAAGAAAATCAAGTCGCTTTGCTTCTTATTGATATTGCCCAGATCTTTTAAAAACTCAGTCTGCTTTGTGACCATAAACTGGCTGTTATGCATCTTTCTAAATATTAATGATGGCTGCTATGAGGCAAACTAAAGAACAGCCAAACAACAGAAACCTTTTTAATATTTTTCCCCTCATTATTGTGGCATGTTGGCATATTTAAACTGGTAAAAACACAAACACATACATACATGTATGGGCTGTCAGTAGATGCGCAATGGGAAGTGCAAAAGACTGAGAGAATTACAGAAGTGTCTGTCGTGGATTCATTGATGATGGGCTGATATTCCAGGAGGTCATCTCAGTGGCAGATATGAATGTTTAATGACTGCCCTGTGTTCTTTCTACGTAGCATAGATAAAACATTCAGTAAGGGCTCCTCTAAATATATCACAAAGGGTCAACCCCACCCAGGCCCGCTGCCCAACCAATATATTATACATACTGCTGTCAGGGGTTAACAGCCAGACATCATACAGCAGATGGAAAGTAATGGTTTAATACTGGCATTTACAACCATTCATCTACAAGGAAAATTACAATGAACAAAATAAGGATTGTGGTTATTAACGCCAACCACAGTTAACAGGTTGACCTCTAACTTTTCTAACCACTGAATTGGAATGACTAATAGTCTTGACCTGAGAGTACATCCAAGCAGAAATGGGTATCACGTTTCCTCAAAGGCAGTGGCCATAGCACACTCTAAACTG